GAAAATATTATCACAGATATTTGCCTTAAGTATTTGACACAAAATTGGTATGAACCAAATCAGTATAACCAAAACTCAAATTAAATCAAAACTCATAAAAAATCATACAGTCATATAGTTAATTCTATCACATGTCATTCAATTATGCATGATATATTATGTCAGTTAATCATTAAAATAAATTTCTTACCAGTAAAGCTTTCAGGTTATTATTAATCTTCAAAATATTATAAGTTGTGCACATGTGGCATCACTAGAGTAGGTGTAGTAGGTTGTGGTGCAATAGTCTCCCTATAACAACCACTAATAACTTTGTCATCCATCATGTTGGTTGATATTTCACTATATGCTCTTGACCCTATAGTCCTCTTTCCTGTAGTATGTATGGACTATTATGCATTAGAATTAGTTCTTCCTTTAAATTCCTTCTAAGGACAGTCTAATAACTTATGTCCTTACTCTCGACAGCAAAAACATTGCCCTAATAATAAGTAGCACTGACCTGTATGTCATCGACCATAATAAATGCACTCACCGTAATTTCTAGAAAATGCTACTAATATATATCCCCTCGAATCATTATACTTTCTTTTATTATCACTACCTCTCTCTCATCTTTATTTCATCCCTTCTCCACCTCCTGTTAACATCATATCTGGAGCCCACCTCATATTTAGATGTTGATGTTGCCAAATCAATCTCTATTAATCTGGCCCGCTCCACCAAACAAGAAAATTCCTGAATCCGTAGAGGCACTAATGGATGTCTCAGCTCTCTAATCAACCCTTGAAGAAATATATAGTACTTTTCTTCAGCAGTCGGGATCGAATAAGGAGCAAACCTAGCAAGGGCAATAAACTCAGCCTCATATTATATCGCTATTTTGCATCCTTACTCTAGCTTAATGAAAGCTTCCTATATCTATTATCAGGCTGATGGAGGTATAAACAACATCCTGGATATGGTAGTGAACTCGTCCCAAGTGATCTCAGCATTTGTCTTCCCTTGAAATTTCTCTCTCTTCTGTCCAATCCATCATCTCTCTACCCTCCTTCAAATAGAAAAAGAGCTAATGGTACCTTCCAGTTCTTTGGACACTACATGCTGTCAAAAATTTTCTCTATCCTTAGCAACAAGTCTTATACAACTTAAGGTTCAATAACTTCTTCAAATAATGGAGGCTTCAACTTATGAAATGTTTATAAATGCTTATCTTCCTCTTCTTCTTTGCTTATAGCTGACTTACTCTGTGCATCCCCCATTACTGGTGTTATAAGAGTAGCTAATTGCAACATTCTTTCGGATGGCACTAGAGATGCATTATGTTGCTCATTTGGTACATTTGATTCTAGATGATCCATTTAACTTTGCACTTGCACAATTTAATATGATATGAATAATAAATAGATATAACTATGTATATAAAATAATAAACCTGAAACTACCCATTCTATCTAACTCTTAATCCAATCCTATATCTTTAGCAACAATTAATTATTTCAATAATTATGCTCTGATACCAATTATAATACCCTATAATCTAAATTGGAAGAATTATATATTTATCATTTAAATAAATAACAACTAGAGATATCTAATATCATCAATTAGTAATAAACAACAAAATAAATTTTATAATTTAAAATCTTAATGTACACATCTATATTCATTCCTAAAAATTATATATGCAACTCAGAATCTATATAATCATATCATAATAATTATATTATAAGTATAAAAAAATAAATGAAAAGAAATAGAACATGAAGAATCCTAACTAGCTTCACACTCCTGCTCTCATATCCTGACCTGAAATCATTTAACCACATATAATGAGTTTAAAAAGCCCAGTAGGTCACCAAAATATATAACTAAATTAAAAACATGACAAAGGAGCAATATGTATGTCAACAATCAAATCATAGTAGTTATATTCATATGATTATTGATTTAATGTAGAAATATTAAAATTCATATGCATTAGTAGTAGAATATATAAACAATAAAACACTATAGTGCAGAAGCCTATAAGTATCAATAATATCAATCAGTAAAGAAATCAGATAAAACATCAAATTAAAACATCAATAAAGACTACTAAAATTGAATCAATGTAGTAAAATCATATATGAATGTTCACATGCAATCTAGTTATTCAATATTAGTATCAAATCAGTATTTTATATTTTTAATATGTCACATACTTATTAAAAATCAAATTGAATCAATGTAGTAAAATCATATATGAATATTCACATGCAATCTAGTTATTCAATATTAGTATCAAATCAGTATTTTATATTTTTAATATGTCACATACTTATTATATTATGAATCAGTAGTATCAAATAGTATAAGTATCTATATTAGTAATAGTAACAATCCAATGATAGGATTAGTAAAATAATATAATAATAGTAAATCTATGCAGTAATAATAAATTCATACAATAATAAAAATAATACCTAAAAAAAGATGTATTTCATTAATCACACTAAACAAGTAAGAAGTCTTGTCTATAATAGTATTTTTCAGTATTGTATCAGTATCAATAAATCATTGGCTCAATAAATAGAGTCATCACTTATTGTCCATCGATACAATAATCATCTTCTTATAACTCTCAATCACTATCATATGAATTAATAGAGGATAATATTAAACTAAAGTATTTAATGGAAGGCCTGTCAGCCCACCATCCTATACAAGTTAAGAAGTCTCCAACCAACGTGCCAACCAGTCTTTACTTATTTTTTACACACATACATTATTATCATAATATTATAACAATAATAGCGACCATCTATTACTCAAGCATATATACACATTCATTTTTAATGCATTATATTAAATGATACATAATTGAGCTTAATTAAGGAAATATCAAAATGTCATAACGGTAGACAATAAAGAATCCTATTAGGCAAAAATGTATATTTTCAAAAATTTATCAAAATATTAAGAATTATATAAAATAATATTTTATGACTTTTATTATATGATACTACTATTTTTAGACATCAAATAAATTTTTGGATAGATAAAAATTGCTGTATTTTTAAAATCACATGGTGAAAAATTAAAATAAATACTCATAATCATAATCTCTATAACATACAAAAAGTTATGCCGCAAAAGTTTTACCAATATAAAATTATTTATACTTTTTAATAAGAGAAACATAAATTTGATCAGAAAAATATCAAAAATATAAATTTTTTAAATAAAAAATAGGATAAAGATTCCTTACAGCGAGACGAGCAATTTTTCCAATAGGCTCGACGGACAAAAATAGCAACGTGGTCTCTAAATCTTGATTTCCTTTTTCTCTCTCCTCATTTTTTCTCTAAATAATTTAAGCATTCTCTATTAGCAGAATTAGAGAGGAGAAAATGTTTTAATAAAGTTTATAATTAGTGAATTAGGATATTTTTAATAAAATAATATTTTTAATATTATATTCTTAATTTAATTAATCTCTTTAGTATAAAATTAAAATAAATAATTTTAGGACTTTAAAAATTACAGAAAAATATTGATCAAATCAATTTGAAAAATGAACACCTAACGATTCATAAATCCTCACTTGTACCAATTTGTACTAATTTCTTATGAATTTTCACCAATGCCCAAAAATTATGAAAAAAATCATGTAAGTAAAATACTAGAATCAAAATACTATGACAAAGATAATTTTTGATTTGGAGTTATAATGACTCCAAAAAAAAATTACAAAGTCAAAATATGGACTATTACAGCATTGGTGTACTGTTGTATGCCTTATAAATTTATAAGTTCTCCACTCTTTGGAGGATGTAAATCCCACAAATCCATGTCACATTGATGGTGCCACTTCCATCTTTCTCTCACGCATATTAGAATGAGATGATTCCACTTTTGATTTCTCTTTGGACCGACCAAGTGCATGTGTGATCCGTGTATGATTGAATAACCTAATTAAACCTACCTTCCTTTGGATTAGGAGAGCCTATATATTATTATATGCAATAAACCCTTGAAGAGAATAATATAACATCCTTAATAGAGAGTTTCTTAATTCAAGTATTAGGATGTAATCAATCATGGGGGCTTGTGCTCTTGGAAAACTGACACCTACATCAAATAAATCTCATTCGAGCTGATGTATCAATTGGAAGAAATCTCATGATTATTGGATCATATATACTATTAATCATCAAGGTGTGTAGGTGAAAGCCATAATCCTCAATGGTTAATCGTATATATAATCACATATACTTCCCATTGGTCTGCTTCCGTAGAGTGTAAAGGCCTTCGACTGTTTCATCATACGGGATAATGCGATTGTATCCTTTGCATTATGAACCACACTTGCAGCACCCTTTCAGAGACCCACATATGGCATAATAGGTATGCTATGAGGTTTTCTTGTTTTGCTCGGATGCCTATTTTGAAAGGTTTGAAAATTGTAGATATTCTTGCTAAAAAAATTTCAATGTTTCTTTTACTTGTAGCCTTTGTTCTAATGTAGAAGAGAGTCATAATCATCTATTTTTTGAATGTGATTTCTCTTTTTGCATTATTTCTAAATTAGTGCATGGTTTGAGTTATTTTATGTTTATTCCTAATTTGACACAAGAGTTTGTTTTTATCATGGCTTCTAATTTGGATGTTAACTCTAAAAATTTGATTATTCTAATTTCTTGATGTTCTAATTATTATTTATGAAAAAAAGAAATAATAGGAGATTTAAAAATAAGCATTGTTGTTCTTTAAATGATATCAAGAATCTGGTTAGTTAAGTTGTTTGGTCTAGTGTTTTTTTTATGTTGGTTCGACTGGTTGGGTCTTTGGATTTTTGATGTTTAATTCCTCTTTCTCTTTTTTTGGTTGGTTGGTCCGACAACTTGTTGGTTTGTTGGGTTATTCAGCTAAGTTGTTAATTGTCGTTTCTATTATGTAGTTTTAGTGTTGTATGGGTCTTGTGGTTGGTTTGGCTGGTCTAGTTTTTGGATTTTTGGTTTCTATCTCTTATTTCTTCTTCTCTTGGTAGGTTGGTTAGGCTTTCTGGTTTTTCCTTACGCTTTATTTTTTTGTGGTTTCTTCTCGTTGTCTGGTAGGTTGGTTGGTTGTCTTTGTCATGTTTTCAGTGCTTATCTGCTTTGGTTATTGTTTGGACAATGATGCTTAGATCCTCCTTTTTAATTATTTGGATGGTTGGTTCGACAATGAGATCTTTACCTTGGAAGGGAGATTTTATTTTGACACCTTTTTGGATGGGAAATTTTTGTCTGGATTCTACTTGGGTTGGAGGTTTTTCCAATCTGAGTCCTTAGAAGGGGTTCTTTGTTGTATGTCCTTTGTTTGGTTTTGTTTTTTCCTTATTATGCTCCTATTTTTAATTACAGGTGAGGTGGTTCTTTTGGTTTCATGGAGTGGAATTAGCCTTTTATGAAGCAATAGATTGATTGCTCAGGGTGAATTTCGTTCTAAGAGATTTATTTTTGTCATTCTAAAATCATTTATTGGTTGTTCTTGGAAGATTCTTTTCTAAGCAATTTTGCGGAAGGGATAGAGTGTCGAGATAATGGATGCAAAACTCTCAAGGGTCGCTCGTATGCTAACGCCGTCTCCAATCCAAGAGCTTTCGCAGCTCGCCCAAAGAATCGGCGCCATTAACCTGGCCCATGGTTTCCCCGACTTCCCCGCGCCGCCAGATTTCAAGGCTGCCGCCGTCTCTGCCATCAACTCCGATTTCAATCAGTATAGGTTTATCACTCCTTTCCTCCTTTTTTTGACTCATCCTCTTTTAGTTTCTGTCCGAAGAGTTGACGACTAAGCTAGGGTCCTAACAGAATGGATTACAATAATATCTTAGAATAGATGTATTTAATGGCATTCTTTTACTGTGTTTAATCTTAACGTTGATTTTCTTGAATGATACATTTGGTTTTAAAGCTTAGTTTTCTCGGTACCCTTCTAAACTATCTTGCTCTGGAGTAAAGGCATGTGCAAGGCATTTGTGAATTACTGGAAGAAAAAATGAAACGAGACCATGGCCTTCATATAAATCCACTCACTGATGTTGTGATCAGCTGCGGCCAGACCGAAGCATTTGCTGCATCTATATTTGCTGGTAAACTTTCGCATATTTTCTTTGGTGATCAATCTACCCTGCTCCTGCCCTGTCTTTATAGTGTAAAAAATTTATGTTGAATGAGGGCGAAATTTGACCTGGATTGGCAAATGGCATTAGACACAAGTTACAGGGCATTGTATTGAAGATTGATGTCTTAGATTTAATAAGAAGTAAGATCAGATTTTATGGCTATTTATGGCATCTGAAAATTACTTGACAGTGATCGACCATGGCGATGAAGTTCTTTTGTTTGATCCTGCTTATGAAACATATGGACCATGCATTTCTTTGGCTGGAGGAATACCTGTAAGTTGACCATCAATTTTACCTTGGATTTACTCCAGTATGATTTGTTAAGTTCCATTTGCATACTGAGATATAGCCTTTAGTCATGATGTGAGTCACATAATTGACAAAATTGTTGATGAAACCATCTTTGATAGCTGCAGATTCAGAATTATATAACATGCTGTCCGTGTGGATTGATGAACTCTTTTGTAAATTATATAGTTTTCCAAGTATATTTATTGTTGAAGACAGTTTAACCTTGTGATTTCCTCGATTGAATTTTTCAGGTCTATGTGCCATTGGATCCACCTTATTGGACTTTTGACGTAGAAAAATTAACAAAATCCTTTACAAGTCGGACAAAAGCTATGGTTCTTAACAGGTTAGTATTTTTTTATTTTAACAACTTTGTTTTAATCATTTTGAAATTAAAACCACAACAATCTTTTACATATTTTGGGTAGTTGAGCCAAGATTAATTATCGTTTTAGGTATTCGCTAAAATTTAAGCTGTTATCACTTAGTAATATTAGTTTTGCTTGTCTAATAGCATGGTTTGGTATTGTAGCCCAATGATATTTGAATCAAATTTAATATACAAACTACTGTGACTAGAAAACTAATATATATATATATATATAATATATATATATATATATATATATATATATATAATAGTATAAATATACGTGCACATGATGCACGTGACTAAAATTAAAAAATATATAAAATTTAAAATTAAATTATTACATGCTATATAATATTACATATAAGATAGCATGCTTATACATGATTTATACATATAACCTATTTATTATTATTTCCACATAGAGTGTAGAAATACATTTAAAAATTAGCAAATAAAGAAGACTTCTATTTGCCCAAATCGCAATTTTTGTTTGAAGTATATTTTTAAAATTACATTAAAACAACTTAAAATTATAGTAATATTATAATATTAATAAATATTTGTTTCAACAATAAAGAAGTCCGAAAATATACATATTTAAGATGTATTAGTCAAATAATATATATCGTTCATGATAGGGATATAAAAATAAATAACCATATACATTTAGAGCTATAAATGAATACAATAATGTATTAAAATGAATATGATGAACAAATTTACATGGTTTGGTTAAAATAAGCATGTGCTTGCAAGAGAGAAGGGAAGGGCCAATCCAATTAAAATTATAGACTTATCTAAGAGTTGATGAAAAAATAAATTAAAGAATAATAATCACTTTGAAGTTACCAAGAGCTAACACTTCTCCATATATGGCTTTTTCGGTTTTGCATCAATAGAGATGAGTTACAAATATAATCAAATCATAAGATAAGTTCCCAACAAAGTGAAGAAAATAGAATGAAAGTAGTCATCTAAAATATGCAACCAAAGAGTAGGAAACCTCATAGATTTTACATACAATAATTACAAGATAAAACTTTATAGTCATTAAGATATGTAATTAAAATATCAAAATAAAATGATAGGCTACAATGTCAAGTGAAATTCAACTATAACAAAAAAAATAAAGAAACCAATGTGCTATATCAAATAAGACAATGCTTTTAGAATTAAATTAAGCAATAAGTGCACGTGAATTAAAATTAAAATACGCATTATGAATTATCGTACTATATTTATTTATTTATATGAATAAATAAATTTATTAATAAAAATATTTGAAATAATGATTATATTAATAAAATATCAAAATTATATAAATTTATATTGAGCAAAATATAATTTATTTTTTATAATTTGGTAAGAAAATAAAATCTTTGATCAGAACTAAAATTTATTATTTTTAGTCAATAGCTTATCATCATTAATTTTTGAGCAACTTTTTATCCGATTTTGCAAATAAAAACATTCTAACAACTTTTCATCCTATTTTTCAAATAAAAACATTCTTACTAAAGGAATTCTAACACTTACAATTTTCACATTAACTTTGAACTAAATAATTCAATCTTTGTAGGTATTATCCAAATGAAATAGACAATAAAATAGTTGTGCATGCACTTAATAAAATTTAAAAATTTTATTATAAAAATTTAAATAATATAGAAATAAATTATAATTTTTAATGAAAAGATAAAATTAATATCAATGCATTAATATTTTTTAATATTAAAATTAAGAAATATTAGAGAGAGCTCTAAAACAAGACATGAAAATAACATAAAATGCATTGATATTTTTTTATCTCTAATATTTGTGGGTAAATTTACATCAATATACAGAAAAATTTACAAAGACATTGTAGAAGTTAATAATTTTTTTCAATCAAATATTAGTGTTTTGATTATTTGAGTAATTAAAGAGATTATCATGATAATAAAGAGTGGCTCAATATTTGGAGAACAAGTGTCAAAAAGAATGTGAAGATAAAAATAAAAAATTATACTCAACATAATATTAGCTTAAAAAAGTAAGATATAAATCACTAAAAGCTAATGTCTTTGCATCGCATATGGCTTTCTTAGCATCCTTACGAGCAACTTTATATATTTCCCAATTATCGGAATTTTTAAAATTAAACCAATTTTTAAGTTTTTAGATGCTAATTTTATCTATAACATGATGAAAAAAGCAAAATAAAGTAAAATTACTTTCAACAGTACTGAGAGGTTCCTCAACATCAATGCTACTACTAACAAAAGCATACCTTATGACGTGTGGAGTACGGATTGCCATGGGGTATGTATAAGCCACATTACTTGATTTCATTCGAATCCGGATGAGAGCTAAATCTGCACCTAATAAATTTTCTATCTTATGATGCAAAACCATAATCACATCAACCCCCATCCCAATGAAAAATTTTCCAATACATAAATCAACTCTTGCAATGCTTACAAAGTAACCATATGATTCTAAGCTTTAGAGCAAACCGCACCAAATCAACCAACAGCAAGGTTCTTTGTCGAGTGTTCTCCAATCGAAAAGAACTGCAACCTGGCCTTCTAATATATCTCTTCAATTCCATTAGCGCAAAAAATATACGAATCTTATGAAAAGTATACTCGAATAAAATTTCATTTCCAAATGCCTACTTCAACCACAAAACTGGAAAAACAAGCAGATCCACATATTAATAAGGAGAATGGAAAAATACTCTCTTCATGTCGCAAGGATTGTAAGAGAAAGAAGAAAATGTCACCATGGATGGTGTAGATAAAAAGAAACTGAAACCTGTTACTTCCCAAAATGGAAAAAAAAATTTAAGTTTTAGTTAGTTGCCTCATTCCCTTTCTAAAACATATTTATAAGTTATGATTGTTGAGCCAGACTTTCTTCACCATTGCTGCTGTAGAAAGCTAGGCAAAAGCAAAACATTTTTGCCTAAGTTTAATATACGGGTAGCTAATTGTGAAGAGAATGTGTGCAAGCTTTGAAAAGGAGCAAATGCCATCCTACCTCCTTCAAAAGATAAATAATTTATATTTTTGGATGTCCAGGTATATTTATTTGAGTAATAAGGGATACATTGGTGGCAACCCAAGTGGTGTGTTGGGTACGCGAGAGAGGAAGAAGATGTCACCATTGGGGAAATGATGGTGAGGGGGATGCCGAAACTTGTGAAGGCCTGAACAATGTCAGAATCACAGTCGAAGGTTTCACCCAAATGCGGGAGTTGTTTGCCTAAGGTTCCGTAGTTTTTGCCGATAGCTGATGGAGATTCATAGCCTTGAAGAGTACCACTTCCAAATCTTAGGAAGCGAGAGCGACGCTAGACTAAGCATCGACGACGTAGGTGACTTAGGAGAGTCATCATTACTCATGGAACAAGCTCTTTCAAAAACCATCTCAACGTAAAGTTGATGCGCCCTATGAAGGGCCATCAGTTGTGAAATTGAGAGGCGTGCCAGGTTTTTGAAGAGGTTTCTTTGATTTTAATATCAAAATCGAGAGCTGAAGAGGTTTATTCAGGGAGATGTGAAGATGTTAATGACTTAATGAATGATTGAGAAATTAAAAGACGTTAGACGAATAGACATATTAGAGGAAAAAAGCCAAAAACCGAAAAATGAAGAGGCGAAGGCATTTCTACTTTTAAGAAACTGCAATTTTAACCTTCCAGATGACAATTTATATCTTTTATTAGGCATAAGAAGATCAAAAGTACAAATTAATTAGCTTTTATATATCAAAAGTGCAAATTAATTACATGCTAAAGCAAATTAAATTGCGAAAATTTAAAGTGCAAATAAGAAAAAAAAAGTGGCATTAATTTGCGGTAATGAGCATTTATTTGCATAATTATTATATATTCTTACTATAATAACTGTTATAATTATTGAAAAACTGTTACTATCTCACTAAAGTCCTCATAACTATTCATATTTTTGACCTTTGGAGTTTGGACTCTTAAGAAACTATAATTTTAATCTTCCAGATGATAATTTACATCTTTTTATTAGCCATTGGAAGATCAAAAGTACAAATTAATTAGCTTTTATAGATCAAAAGTGTAAATTAATTACATGCTAAAACAAATTAATTTGCAAAAATTTGAAGTGCAAATCAAAAGGAAATTTAAGCGGCATTAATTTGCGGCAATAGGCATTAATTTGCATCATTATTACATATTTTTAGATTTACTAATTATTTATAATACAATTTAGGGACAAGATAATTTTAGAAGGAATTAAAATGATGGCGAAGATTTTATGCGAAAGGAAATTCAAGCGGCTTTTATAATAGTGGTATATATTTAATTTAAATTTTTATGTAATAATTATATATTTAAATGTTAGGATTTAATATTCATCATAAATTTAAGGGCTATAATTCAATTTGAGAAGGATTAAAAATCAGTTTTATATATTATATATATAATGAATATTAATTAATGAATTATATTATTATTTGCTAGAGTATGTATTAATTAAGAAATAATAAAAAAGTATATTAATTAATCTAATTGAATGTAAAAGTTAATATAATTAAATGCATCAATTGACTCTTAAATGCAATTAATATTAACAAAATAAAAATTGTGATGCATTTACATGAATAAATGAAATTAATAAATAGGTTAATTAAATTTATAAATAAAATGAAAGGTTAAGTAATCCTAATTGAATATAAAAATAAATATAATTAAATGCACCAATTGGTTCTTACTTAAATGTAATTAATGCAAACAAAATAAAAAAATGTCATGCATTTCAATGAATAAATGAATTTATTAAATAAGTTAATTAAATATATAAATAAAATGAAAGGCCAAGATTTATTTTTGGTAAATTAAATGGAAGGCTAGGATTGCATTTTAGTGGAATCATATATATATTGTTGCATCTTTGAATATTTGCGGTAGTATATAAATATATATTTTAGCTTCCTAACTTTGTATGAAGATCCAACACACAAATAGATAAAAAATAGGGGTTTAGAATTCATAAGGGATACTAGAGTTTTTACGTGAAAACCCCTGAAAGCGAAAAATACGGGGCCTTGCCCAATTTACATGAATGCACTAATATTTGCAATAGATTACAATTGAGGCCCTTCCTTTTGGGAAAAGCCTTGGCTCGATGTAGTAAATATATATCATATAAAGTGCATTACATGGTGAGTGGTGGAAGAAAAAGTGTTGACATTTTCGTTTAGTTGACAGGATCATAGTCGGCGAGCCATGTAGGATAGAAGGACTGTAGTTGGGTGCCTGTGATCGGAAGGATTGTAGTCTGGCGATGGAGGTCAGAAAGATCATAGTATGGCGATGGTGGTCGGAAGGACCGTAGTTGGCAGGTGACAGAGGTCGGAAAGACTGTAGTCGACCGATAGTGGTTGGAAGGACTGTAGTTCAAAAACTTTCAGTGGTTGGGTGAAAGTCTGGTGATATTTCGTGGCTGAGCTGATGTCCGGTGACAGCCGGTAGCTGAGCGGTGGTCGAGGAGGAGCTTGTTAGCAAGAGAAATCTCATCCTCTCATTTCTTCTTTCCCTTTCTTCCTCCCCCCTCAATGAAGAATGAGGGGTTTATTTATAATTTTATGGGAGTGACATGACCGGTAAATAGGAAAAAGGTCACAGGCACGTTGGGAGTGATTTGAATGGATGACTGATATCGATTCCCTTGATCATGGGCTGTTTATCGAGTATTTGAGTTTCTTAATGATATCAGAATGTAGTGATCTTGGGCTCGTTGGATTCATCTTGTCGAGCCGCTCAATTCGACTATAAGCATGCACATTTGGAGATCATTTGGTCATCCAATTTATGGTTTGAACTTTCCAAATGTGCTTCCGGTCCTCGATTTGGATCCATTTGGGCTCATATTGGATCGAATTTGGCGACGTTGAGTTCTTCTTTTCGAGATATGTTCAGTTCGACCATAAGTTTGTTGAAATCAGAGTTCGGATGGTCCTAGATTTAATTTAGAAAGTTTCCAATTTAAAATTTTTTGATGAAATATATATGTAACACTTTCCAACAAAGCTCTAATTTACTAATTTTATTATTAAAAATCATATGATTTTCTACAAATCCGAAAAGGAGAAACTTGTCAATTCACCTCTAATACTTTGTGATTTGTATCATCTAATCTGTGGTTTTAAGAGTCTCACTTCAGTCTTAGATGAAAATTATTCACAAAACAAAATGCAATCATTCATTCTTCTTTTTAGAGACCACACCTATGTGTTTTTTTTTTCAAGACAATTCAAGCAGTCCTTAGATTTAGATACAATCAAGAAATGTTGGATTACTCTACCATCATAGATAGTGTCATAATCTTAACTCTTTTAATTGCTTCATATTTATAATAACTTCGATCTGAAGAACTTCATAATCTCTTTCGATGCTTATAGTGGTTACCATCATGAGTGTCACTAGAATAATAATTTTCAATAGGATTTTAACATTACTTATGGCCTCTATTATCTTTCTGGCTCTAAGACTATGGTTCCTAAGATTCCTATGGTCTATAGGGTTCATGTAGTTTCTAAGATTATTTGCTTATTTCAGGATGATGGTATTGGGACCTATCCTAAGACATTTTTAATAGGGTTGAGGAGGCTGTGGAGGTGCCTTAAGTTCTAATGATGATATGTACTGATAGGTATATGATTAGGCAATTATTCCATTATATCATCTAATGTATTTGGTGAAGGTAGAGTTTTTTATGAGGTGTAGTTCTAATGGGATTACTAAGCAAGGAAAGGAAAATCACAAGAGGTCCCTTCTTGATTTCTAATTTGGTTAATTTAAAACCATAAATATGTTTTTTTTTCTAAGAATTGAAACCCATCACCTCATCTGGAAAGGAACACCACAGTAAAAAGGCCCTTTTATAGAACCTCATATCATTAATTAATGACTTAAAAATAAGAAAATAGAATTACTAAAGAACCTTTTAATAACTTTCTAAATGACTCAAAATGTAAAAAAATTTCTCATCAACTCATGAACTTGATCATCATGGTCAGATCAAACATTGAAGGTAAGCAGTAGCTGTTATTTGCAAATTTTTAGAGATCCTTGATAGGACAATTCACCGAAAGGTTTAACAAGGTACTGTGCAATAATTTACAGATAAGTTTTATCAATGAATGCTTTTTATTCTTTTAAACGGCTAATTTTATAATGTTGCAGCCCGCATAATCCAACTGGGAAAGTTTTCACCAAGGGAGAACTTGAAGCCATTGCTGAAGCTTGCCGCAGCAAGGATTGCATTTGCATTACTGATGAAGTATGGAGCCCTGCTTAAATTAAATTTCTTGAAGGAGGTTGCAAATGATAAAATAAGGCGAAAGCATTTACACTTTCTTTAGGCCAAAATAATTTTTTTTTGGCAACTGCTGAATTAAGCATATTGTAAATCAAAGGGTTTCCTTCCATTTTGATCGTAGTCATTGTTACGAGAAACAATTGACATGCAAAGAAAAAAGCTTAATGCTTTCATAACAATAAAATATTTGAATATATATTTGAAGCCAACAAAAAATAAAGCCATAGTTGAAAGCTAACCACCAACAGAGTCATTATTTTAAAACACACAATCTTAATATTACAAAACATTATTCAAAAGTTTAAAGGTTTTGATAGTTGATGTTAATTCTTTCTTCTGGAAGAACATTAATTAAGATTTCCACTATAAGTTAGAAGTATATCATTCTTTTGTAATTCTATTATTTTAAAATGTTTCTTTTTGTTGTGATCTCAACATATATTGGCATATAATTCGTCAAGCGGGTTGATTTTATGTTTGATTTAGATGCCAACAACTGTTTTAGGTCATTTTTTTCATTGAATGCTGCCTACTATTAACCTGTATTCTTATTCACTTCTATCAGTATGTAGTAATGCTATTCAGTTCTTCCAGGTATATGAGTATATAACATTTGACATGCATAAACATGTGTCCATTTCTTCTCTGCATGGGATGCAAGAAAGGACCATCATCACGTCATCATTGTCAAAAACATTCAGTGTCACTGGTGAGCATTATTTCTTTTCATATCCTATTGCTTGCAATTATTGTAACTTTTTGTTTAATAGGAGATTTACTGATTGCTTGTTCTTTTTTGAGTCAGCTTTTTAAATCACTTATCACCCACCATACAGTATGCTAATTCATTTCTTTTTTCTATTTTTTTCTTTTTTATTATAAAAAATACAAAAAGTCTGAATAGCCCATTGATTTTTGTATGTGACAAATTCATAGAGTATCACATTTTTTCCAATTATAAGTTTCTTGACTCAAAATTGATCCTAAATAGCCCCTCTGATAGAAATTGATAAAAATTGAGATATAAAATTGATCTCAATTTAGTTCCTTGACTATACAAAATTGATTTTAATTTAGTGCTTGATGGACCATTTTGGATCAGTTTTGTATAGTTGAGGGGACTGGATTACGAAAATGTTGATATTTTGGGATTAAATTAACCCAATGAAAGTCGAGGGATTATTTTGTATTTTTTTAAAATTATGATTAATGAGCTTATAATTGAAAAGGTTGGTGTTGATCTAGTGGAAGATAAGATTAGAGAGAGTTGCCTTGGATGGTTTGGTCACATAAAACAGTGACCTTCTGATGACCCAGTTAGGAAAATAGATGTATTAAATTTGACTTACGTTAAGAAAAGTAGAGGTAGATCTAAAAAGACTTTATTATAAAATATGATAAATGACCTTTCTTTATTCGATTTAGATGAGAATTTGACTCTTAATATGACATAATAGAGAAAAAGGATTCATGTAGCTGACTACACATAGTGCGATAAAGGCTTATTGTTGTTGTATGATTACTTTTTTATTCTTTGACATATTAATAATGTATAAACAAAAACATTTTAATGTATATTCACTATAGGAAAATCACTTAGTACCGGCGGCTTGTTCCGGCGGTTATCATAAGCTTTCCGGCGGTTTAAAATCTGCCGGTAAAAACCGCGTAGGAAACGTACCGCCAGTAGTTTTCCGGCGGTCATAACGCTGGTGACCGCCAATTATTTACCAGCGGTCATAACCGAAGGATTTTTCCGGCTGCCAAACCGCCGGCATATCGTCGGTAACGCACCGGCGGTTTAACGACGGTCATAATCAAAGTAATTGCCGGTGCCGCCACCGCCGGAGAACCGGCGGTAATAGTAATCTTCCGGCGGCTGATATTAGCCGTCCGATATCGAAGTTTCTGGCGACCAAACCGATCATCTCAAAAGAGGACAGACAAGGATTAAGAAGAAAGATAGAAGGTGCCTACCATTGACCCAACCTTTGATTATGAAAGAACAAATGATAGGAGCAAAATAAGCAGTCTTTACCCTATATACTGAATTCCTTATGTCTGTTCCTTTTCCAAATGTTAGTTAACTCATAAAAGATATCAATTGCAGTTTTTTGTCTCATAGGAAAATAGGGAAATAATGAAATTATCATTGATTTGATGGAAATCAACGACGAATCAATGGTATCTATAATGAGGAATCAAATAGTAGGAAAATTCCATGAGAAGAGAATTAAATAGAAGGTTATTGATAATTCTCTTCCAATTCTTTTCTATGTTATAGGATTAGTTCTTAATGACATTTTCTCCCCACATAATTTTGTGAACCATAGAGCTAATGCCTTGGTTCCTCCTTTCAAAACCTTAAAATGATCCATATGGCAAGAATGTTACATGGAGTTCTTGGTAACCATATGAGATCAATTTCTTGGGCAGCTAGGTTTGGAACTCTATCGCTCAATCTTGGATAGTGGTGAGTGACCGGTTATTAAACACAACACCCAGGGGCATCACCTATATCCGCTTGGAGGAAAAAAATACATCAATCCTACTTAAGCAGGGTTACAGACTTTAACTTGAAAATTTAACTTGAACGATACAAACTTTTCCCCAAACTTTTCCACAAACATTTTCATCCCTAAAAAATACATCAATCCGCTTGGTAGAAGCAACTTGAAAATTTATCTTGAACGATACAAACTTTTTATGGTGAGTGACAAACTTTTTCATGCCTATTAACTCTCTAACACAATTCCTCTTTACATTGTATAAAATAAATGTTGTCCTCTAAGCATTAACTAGTAGAACAAAAAAAAAATCAAAATCATACCTGGCGGATCCACGATTTCTGCCGGAATCCCTGCACAAATCCTGCGACCTCTCCTCGATCGAGAGCCCAAACGCGTCGTTAAATACCAGAGCAGATGTAGCCTTCAATCGCTGCTCTCTCCCACGCACACGACTGCTTCTCCGACTCCTCTTCCCACATCCACGACACTCTCTCTCTTCCTGCGCTCGATCTCCACTGCCGAAGCCTCCTCCCTCTTCCCGATTTTCTCAGCCGCCCAGTCTCGCCGACGATCTTCCCGAAGCCGCGAGCATCCCGCATCCTCTGTTTCCCTGTGCTGGCTTCCTTTCATCCACGCAGAGAGAGAGATTCGTCGTGCCTACCTGTAGCCGCCCGATCCCATTCGGTCGAGCTCCCCGTTTGGTTTTCTCTCCTAAACCCGAACTCCTCCCTGCCGTCCGACTCCCTACCCGACGCTTCCTCTCTGTTAGGATCGGAGGTTACAACATTTTGAGCGGGAGTAATAACGAGAGCCGCCCACAGTGAAGGTAATTTTCTCCCATTCGCACTCTTCTTCGGCCAAATCTCGTGTATGCCGAACCAGAGAAATGGGAGAGAGGATTTTAATTAATTTTTATTAAGGTTAATGTTAATTAATCGTAATCAATTTTAATTATCTTAATTATTTATAATTATTGTATTAACTATAGTCAACTTTAATTAAATAATCATAATTGAATGATTATAATTATTTTAATTAAAGTCAATTTTTTTAATTATAATTTATAAATGATTGATTATAATTAATTATTATTAATTAATTTTAAGTAATTAAAGTTAATTATTATTTATTAGTTATGATTAATTAAGATTAATTATAATTAATTTTTTAGTTAGTTAATTATAATAATTATAATTAATTATTTTAATTAATTAATGATTAATTAAATTTAATCTTAATTATAATTAATTATATAAAAAAAGAATGCTCCCCTCTACTCTATTTCCTCGGCACTAGTGTCGGACCAAAAAATTGCCCCAAGCACGCCCTTAGTGCGCGTGGTGGGATGGGACCCTGGTGCGACACCTACGACGAGGTAGGGTTTGATGTAACAACTTGAGCTTCTAACAATTTCTGGATCATCTCTTCCATTCCCCCAAATCTCTCTTCTAGGGATGAAAATTTTCCCTCCATCGATGAAAGTTTCTCACCCATTAAGGTGGATCTCTAGGAGTACACATTAGATGTCACACCATCTTTGAAAAAAATTTCTAGAGATGTGGGTCTCTATATTTATTTCACTTATGTCGGACCTCTTCAGCGGTGGATTCTTGAATATATATCCAAGTGTCACACTCCTGATCTCACCATACATATCTTGATTCTTTCTTTACCTCACCATCATAATAGATGGTAGTTTTAGCTCCATCGGGACCTTTCAGTGATGATCTTGGACATAAGGACCAAATGTCGCATCCTGATGTTCACCGTACAGAGCTCAATATCATCATAATTTTTGCTGTGGCTACAATAGCACATAAGTGACAGCCAAAGATGGAAAGAAACCATTCCCAGCGGAGTCGCCAGAAATCTGTGGGCTCCGAAAAATTCCAATTTTGGGGATGATCGCCGGGAATTTTAAGAAGGCAGATTGGGTTTTAGATAAGACACTACCAGAGATTTCCTCCTCATTAGTGAGGACTTTTTGATCTGAGTCTGGTTTCCTATAGGCGCAAGCCCCTATAGTTAATTACCCCTTCGATAATAGAGAGAACTTTCGATTAAGCTAGTCATAAAGATAATGTAAACCTATCTATAAATAGCAAAAATTTTAGGGTTTAAATTTTGAATTGAAGTTTAAATTTGGAATTTATATCACCATAAACTTAAAACTGGTGGTGGGGGAATGAAGACGAGCCCGGATCAAGATCCCATGGTTTCGTCCCGGGCTGTCATTATCCCTGGTCTACTTAGTCAGAGGAGGTAGTCAGCCCAACCTGACAGAAGGCACCTTGTCGGCAGCCATGGGTTGCTTCGTCCAAGAATACCTCG